AGTGCATGTGCCCTATGGCAAAATCTAAAAATAAAGTAAAATTTTTAAATAATGAAAAAAATTTAAATGAGCTTTTACGCTCATTAATAAAAGAGAGAAAGAGAGAGAGAAATGCTATCTAAGCAGCTAGATGGCTTTCACTTTAGAATTAGGTAATACATAACTCTCAGCTGACCTTGCAGTGCTTCTAGGACCAGGCCTCATTAATGTCTTGTTATGTCTTCACTTATATAAACTGAGAAACAAATGCAAGGGAGAAGGGTAACCACTTGGCTAAGAGGGGGAAGGGTGAGTTTTGGGGTTAGCAGAGGTACTTCCTGCCAGCCTAAAATGAGCCCATTAAATACTACAAGAAATAAAAAAGTGCATGTGTGTGTATACATACACATATGTGCTTATATTTTTATATGCTCAAAAGACTAATGTGAACATAAAGCTTATCAAGCTGGATCATGCTGTTTTCTAATCTTAAATATAAGGACCACAGAGGTATACATTTAAATGGAAATAAATTGTAAAATAAAATAAAAATGTATGGGCTAGCAGATGGCATGATGGCTAAGGCACTAGATCCCATGTGGCCAACTGCTTGGTTTGAGTCCCAGACCCATTGGCTTAAAAAACACACCAGATGCATGTGCATGTGTGCCCAAAAGCCTGAGAATGGAGGAGAAGGGGTTGCAGCATGGCCATTCCCCCTGGAGTGTGATTTCTCATTTTCCTTCTTTCTGTCTCTCTCCGGCAAGTGCATGTGCCCTATGGCAAAATCTAAAAATAAAGTAAAATTTTTAAATAATGAAAAAAATTTAAATGAGCTTTTACGCTCATTAATAAAAGAGAGAAAGAGAGAGAGAAATGCTATCTAAGCAGCTAGATGGCTTTCACTTTAGAATTAGGTAATACATAACTCTCAGCTGACCTTGCAGTGCTTCTAGGACCAGGCCTCATTAATGTCTTGTTATGTCTTCACTTATATAAACTGAGAAACAAATGGAGAAAGGAAAGGGCTTCAATTAATAATGGAGTGACTCATAAGTTGGTAAAACAGATGGGAAACTGAAGTCCAGAGAGATTGATTAATCCATGGCCCATGATGAATTAATTCCTTCATTCAATAAACATACTTCATGTGTGTTATATAAATGTGTTGGTAATCTGTTATGTAACAAACTTCTCCAAAACTTAGTGGTTTAAAATAACACATTTATTGTCTCACTCTTTCTTAAAGTTTTATGAATTATTATTATTTAATTCGCTATAGGGTACATGCACTCACCAGAGAGACAGAGAGAGAGGGAGAGTGAGAAAGCAAGCTGCCAGGTCTGGGACTCAAACTGTGGTTGGCCATGTGGGAGTCTGGCATGTTAACCACCATGCTACCTGCTGGCCCCATATTATCTCACTCTTTCTGTGGGTAAGGAGATCTAGGTAGGACTTAGCTAGGTGTCTGCTTCAGGGTCTCTTGAAAGATGCAGTCAACATGTCTGCCAGGGCTGGAGTCTGATCTAAAGGCTCAAATGGGGAAAGATCCACTTCTTTTTTTTTTTAATATTTTATTTATCTTTGTTTATTTATTTTAATTAGACCAGGGAGGGAAAGTGAGCGCGAGAGAGAAAGAGAAAGAGAGAGAAAACAAACAAGCCGCCAGTTCTGGGACTCGAATCATGGTTGGCCATGTGGGAGTCCAGCACCCTAATCACCACACCACCTGCCGGCCCCGGGAAAGATCCACTTCTAACCTTCCAGAATTTTTTGGTAGAATCAGTTCTTTGGGGACTATTGGATTGAAAGTCTCTGTTTTTTGCTGGCTGTTGCCCGAAGGCCACCCTCAATTTTTTGCCACACAACCTCTGACATAGCACATTGCTTCATAGAAATACACAACTGAGGGACTAGCAGTTAGTGTAATGGCTATGTCACTGGACTCTCATGTATTCGACCACGATTTGAGTCCCAGACCTGGTGGCTTAAACTCACGCCGGGCACGTGTGCGTGTGTGCCCAAGATCCCAAGAGGAGAATGGAGGAGAAGGGACTGCGGTGTGACCATCCCTCCTGGGGGGTGATTTCTCGCTTTCTGTCTCTTTGTGTCTCTCTTTCTAGAGAGCGCACGCACCCTATAGCAAAAACCTCTCAACAACAACAACAAAAAAGATTTAAAAATAGTTTTAAAAAAGAAAAAGAAATACACAACTGAGAAAGCAATAAAAAGAGTCTGCTAGCAAGATGAAGTCACAGTCTTTCATAACCTCATCATGGAACTGACATCCCATTACTTTGCCACAATTTTTTTTTATTTTTTGCTACAGAGCACGTGCGCTCTCCACACAGAGAGAGATATAGAGACAGAAAGCGAGAAATCACCCCCCAGGAGGGATGGTCACACCGCAGTCCCTTCTCCTCCATTCTCCTCTCGGGATCTTGGGCACGCACGCACACACACCCGGCATGAGTTTTAAGCCACCAGGTCCGGGACATGAACCGCGGTCGACTACGTGGGAGTCCAGCGACATAGCCATTACGCTAACTGCTGGTTCCCACTTTGCCACATTCTAATGGTCAGAAGCGAGTCATTAGTTCAGCCCACACTCAAGGGGAAGAGATTACATGGCGTGTAAATACCAGGAGGTGGGAGTCTTAGGTTTGGGCTACTGTAACAAAATACCATAGATTGGTGGCTTAAACAATTGATATTAATTTCTCACAGTCTTAGAGGCTGGGAAGTCCAAGGATGAAGTGCCAGCAGATCCTCTGATGAGGAAAGGCCCTCTTCCTGGTTTGCTGGTGGCTAGCTTCCTGATGTATCCTCACGTAGCAGAGAGAGAAAGGCTCTGGTCGTCTGCCTCTGCTTATTCTGCTTCTGCTTCTTCCTTTTCTCCCATGAGCAAGAGAAACAGAGAGAGAAGGACAGCACCCTAGTAGAATCTTAGATGCCATGATCCACCCCCAGCCCCAGCCAGCCCTGGATGGTGGGCACATGCATGCCTAGCATATGAAGGAGGTCTCCAGAAGGGTACTCAGAATCTTCCCATGTGGGCCAGGCTCACAGAGTATTATGTTTTGCTGTTGTGTCCCTGTCCAACCCCCTCTTCCTTGTCTTGTAAGAGCAATAACATCCTCAAAGGGCTCAGTCCTCATGACTTCACCTTAATCTAATTACTCCCAAAAGCACCACAATTATGCTAAAAACCACCACACTGGGAATTCAACTTCTGAATGTTGGGAAGTAAAAGGAGAAAAACCCTTTTCCCATACATTCACATACTTCCCTTCTGACACCAGATGTGTGGATTTTTCCTAACCCAACCAACAACAAATTCTCCCACTCTCCAGACACCAACTGGGTATCCTACAATTAAGTTATGACACTACCTAGAGTTAGTACATTCCCCACAGCTAAGGGCTCAGTCCCACAAGACTATCCCCTATTTCAGTTGCTAATGGCAAGTAGTGGATCCTCAGGTTAACCACACTTATGTCCAATTTGGCATCAAATCTGGGGTTTTCACAACTCTCTCCTCAGGTTCAATACTTTACTATAGGTTCATAGAACTCAGGACAACACATTTACCAGTTTATTACAAAAGATACAATAAAGAATACAGATGAACAGCTAGATGAAGAGATATATAGGGTTAGGCCCAGAGGGTCCCAAGCACAGGAGAAATACGCCACTGCTCCCCCTCCAGCACTTGATGTGTTTACCAACTCAGAAGCCCTCCAACCCCCATCTTTTGAGAATTTTTTTCAAGACTGGCAGGTGGCATGGTGATTAAAGGCACTGGACTTCCACATGGCTAACTGCGGTTCTAGTCCAGAACCTGGCAGCTTACTTTCTCGTGTTATCTCTCTCTCTCTCTCTCCCTCTTTCTCTGCCTTTCTCTCTCTGTCTCTCTTTGGTCAAAACGAAAAATACAATAATAAATAAAGTTAAATGAAATAAAACTTCTGTTTTTTTTAAAAAAAGAATTTTTATGGAAGTTTTATCACATTGGCATGATTGATTATTAACTCAACTTTTAGCCCCCTCCCCTCTCTGGAGGATAAGGGAATTGGGATAAAAGTTCCAAGCTTCTAATCATGGCTTGGTCTTTCTCGTGACCAGCTTCCTCCCTAAAGCTTTTCAGTAGCCTATCAGCAGTTGCCTTATTAGATCAAAAGAAGCTCCCATCACCCAGGACATTTCAAAGGAATTGGAAGCTCTGTTGCTGGAACTGGGGGCAAAGACCAGATGTGTGTGTGTGTGTGTGTGTGTGTGTGTGTGTGTGTGTGTATTTTATTTATTAGAGGGCAAGTGCACTCACCCGAGAGAGAGAGAATGAAAGCAAAAGAGAAAGTGGGAAATCACCTCCCAAGGGGGACGGCCATGCTACAACCCTTCTCTTCTAGTCTCCTCTCAGGATTTTGTGCACACACACACGCCACACATGTGCCCACTGTAGTTTTCAAGCCACTGGATTTGGAACTTGAACCATGAAATCAGCAATGTGAGATCTAGCCCTTTAACTGCCAGCTGGCCCTGGCTTCCCTTTTCAAAGCTTGTTGTTGTTATTTATTTGTACCTCAGGAGTGAAAATATTGGCTGAGATGAAAGTAACTGGCACAAATCGGGACTAGCAGATGGCGTAGCGGTTACATTGCTGGAATCCTACATGGCCGACCACGGTTCAAGTCCTGGACCCAGTGGGTTGAAAATCATACCGGGCACATGTGTATGCGTACCCAAGATCCCAGAAGGAGAGTGGAGAAGAAGGGATTGTGATGTGGCCACCACCTCCCCTTTAGAGGGGTGATTCCTCACTTTCCCTCTCATTGTGTCTATCTCTGTCTCTCTCTGTGATTGCATGTGTCTTAAGGCAAAAACATTTTTAAAAAGAAAGGAAGGAAGGAAGGAAGGAAGGAAGGAAGGAAGGAAGAAAGAAACTGGCACAAATTGTTTTTCCTTCTTAATGTTTCACAGCCAGATGTTATGAAATGGTTTTGTTTTTCTTTTTTCTCTAGTGCCTGGAAACCTTGGCTGCTACAAGGACCATGGAAACCCACCTCCTCTAACTGGCACCAGTAAAACATCCAACAAGCTTACCATTCAAACCTGCATCAGTTTTTGTCGGAGTCAGAGGTTCAAGGTAATGGCTCTGTGGTTATGTAACTATAGAAAAAGATAAAGATGTAAATGAATTTTGCTGAGATAACTTAAAAATGTTTAAATTAAAGCAAAAACAACAACAAAAATAAGCAAGCCATATGAGTTTCCTTTTCTGCCATGGAAAAGTTGGAAGCGGAGCAGGGTCAGGGTTTAAGAGTGTGAGGCTGCACTCTTATTTAAAACTGAAAGAGGGCCAGCCCTGTGGCTTAGTAGTTAGGAGAGCTACATCTCACATGGCCAACTGCATGATGTGAATCCCGGCCCTGGCAGCTTGAAAAATAAACCAGGCACATGTGTGTGCATGCCCAAAATCCTGACAGGATGGAAAAATGGAGGAGTGGGGATTATAGTGCAACCACACCCCACTGGGGGGGGTGCTTTCTCCTTTCCCTCTCCCTCTATCTCTGTCTCTTTGTCTCTTTGATGAGTGCATATGCCCTTTGGCTGAAAAGAGAAAAAAAAAAAAGATTAGAAGAAAGGGTAGGAAAATCCCCAATAGCTGCATTGCATCTCAGTTTGTCCTCTGACACAGTTATGTATTTCCTTGTGTTCCTTGCGCTCTTGAATATTATGAGCAGAAACATCTCTGGCTCTATAGAGAATGTGAAAATAAGCCAAGGTCATGGTTTACTTCCTTGTTGGTTTAAGTGTTCATGGTCTGGATACCAGTCTACTTTTTCTTCCTATCCATTTCTTTATCCAAAATTCACTCCTTGGTTGTTATGGTTCAGTAATATTTTTGTTTCTTATATAAGAGAAAGACAAAAAGATCCTTTCTTCTTTCTTCCCTGTGTCCCTTATTCTCTTCCTTCCTTTCTTTTTTCTTTTTAAATTATTTATTTAGGGACCAGCAGGTGGCATGGTGGTTAAGGTGCTGGACACTCCCATACAGCCCACCATGGTTCGAGTCCTGGACCTGGTGGCTTGCTTTCCCACTTTCCCTCTCTCTCTCTTTCTCTCTCTGGTCAAATTAAAATGAACGAATGAATAAATAAAATTAAGTAAATAAATCTTTTTAAAAAGAATTATTTATTTAATTTTATTTACTATTATTATTTTTTAATTTGACCAAAGAGAGACAGAGAAAGAAAGAGAGGAAAAGTGAGGGAAATCAAGCCACTAGGTCTGGGACTCGAACCATGGTTGGCCATATGGACGTCTAGTACCTTAACCTACCACACCAGCTTCCAGCCACCTTCCTTTCTTTGTTCCTTAGTAATTGAGTCAAAAATCCATTAATCAAGCCCAAGCAAGGAAGATGAGACAGATGGCTGAGCAAGATATTTTTATAACCTGAAAGATCTCCCCATGAAATACTTATTCCTAAAGAGAAAATGAATAATTCTACAGTGGAGGAAACTGGCATAATACTGTCTTATTTTAGTGATCATTGATTAAGATCATCTCCAAAAAAGCCTATAGCTAATACCATCCCCAAGGTGAAAAATTCTCCTACCTAAGAGTAGGAACAGACAATGATGCCTACTCTTAATTCTTCTATTCAGCATTGTACTGGGGGTCTTTGCCAAGGAAATTAAACAAGAGAAAGAAAGAAAAGGCATATGGAGCCAGCAGGTGGCATAGTAATTAAGGTGTTGGACTCTCACATGGTCAACTAAGGTGCGAGTACCAGACACAGGCTTGAAAATCATGCCAGGTGTATATGCGTGCATGCCCCAAATCCCAGGAGAATGAATAGGGGATTGTGGCATGACCATCTCCCCTTTGTGGTGATTTCTTACTTTCCCTTTTTGCTCTCTGTCTCCGACAAGTACACACACCCTAGGGCAAACATGAAAAAAAAAATTATAATAATAATTAAATGGGGCCTATAATGAGTTTGTTGTGAGGGTTAGCTATAAAGCATATACTACCAGGCACATTATAAACATTCAATAAAATGTGTAGCTGTGACTATGATTGATATTTCAGTTTTACAGTATCTTCTCTTCTCTAAAACCTATTTAAATAAAATAGAAATGCAAACATTAAAATAGGATGCTCACTGGTGGGGAAGCATGGTGGTGCTATGCAGTTACTGATCAGCTTAGCAGTAAGTATTAGGAGAGTGGGAGACCAGGGAGAGGTCCCAGAGCATCTGGGAAGATGAGGCTCATTGCTTGTTGGAAACCACCGACACCTTCCACTAATGCCTGCCATGTGCTGCTTCTCTGTTGTGGCAGTTTGCTGGGATGGAGTCAGGTTATGCTTGCTTCTGTGGAAACAATCCTGATTACTGGAAGTACGGGGAGGCAGCCAGCACTGAGTGCAACAGCGTCTGCTTTGGGGATCACTCCCAGCCCTGTGGTGGTGATGGCCGGATCATCCTCTTTGACAGTGAGTATGACCTGTTCCTGACTCTACCCAAGGCACAGGAGTCCTGGGACCAGATCAGCAAACCTGCCTACCCACCTCCCTCCCATCCATTAATTCATTCATTCATTCACTTGGCAGTTTTTTTGAAGCACCTTCTATAGGCCAAGAACTGATCAGACACTTATGACCCAGCACAGAGAATGAAGACTCAGCCCCTGCTCTCTAGGAAGGATGACAGATGTTGAACAAGTGATTAGCTACAGTTGTGACAAGTGTTTCAAAGCAGGATGGCTTATGATGAGACGCTCAGACAGTTTGCAAAAGGCAGTCTTACCAGTTTAACATAAAAACTGGCCAGATTGTGGCATAGCAGTAGTAACACAATGCTCTTGAGGCCCACATGGGAAGATTCTGTATTTGTGTCCAGAGACCTCCCTAAATACACCAGGTGTGTGCATGACCATGATCTGAGTCTGGCTGTGGCTGGGGGTGCATTATGGTATGAGGACCCAGCTGGGAATGCCATCTCTCTTTCTGTCTCTCTCTGTCTCTCTCATTCATGAATGAAAGAAACTTAAAAAAATGGTATAATAGTTTGGTATTCGTTTTAATATCCTGTTGTTATCATATAATATCCAGTGCTTTTAGTTTAGTGGTTTTTTGTTTTTGGTTTTTTGTTTTTTTTTTGCATTCAGGATTTATGTCTTATTGTGATGTATCTGAGAAGAGAACATATGCTTCAAATTGTTTTTCCAAGCTTGCCATTGAGTTTGCCCTGACCTATTTCCTCTCTGACCTGCCACATTTGTGAGATACTGGCTAGGGTCAGAGTGTGTTCTGAATGGGATGTGGATCTGGAACCTTGATCTCTCCATCACTCTATTCTAACCATTGAGCAGCCAGTCTACCATCATAAGCCACCCACATCAATTCAGTGGTAATGAGACCTCATGAGAGTCATACCACCAATACAGCACCAATTTTAAGGTGGTAGAAAGGAGATAGTCACAAATGAGGCAGAATAAGAAAAGACTTGAGATTACCAAGAAATACTGACGTGTTTATAGTGTCTTTGTTGGTCATTAAGCTAGAAGAAATGAACTCCTGACATCCCAACCAAACAGGGTGGCTCAGTTTTGAGCAAAAAATGACACATGGTCTATTAGTGTCCCAGGGATTCCATAACAAACTATTACAAACTGGATAGCTTAAAGTAGCAGAAATAAGGGCCAGCAGATAATGTAGTAGTTACATCGCAGGACTCCCACATGGCCGACTGATTTGAGACTTGGACCCAGTGGCTTGAAACTCACACTGGGTGCATGGGCGTGCATGCTCAAGATCCCAGGAGCATAATAGAGGAGAAGGGATTGTGGTGTGGCCATCCTCCCTGGGAGGTGATTTCTCACTTTCCCTCTCACTGTCTATATCTCTCTCTTTCTAGTGAGCAGACGTGCCCTACAGCAAAGGCAAAAACCTCTTAAAAAAAAATTCTCAAAAAAAAAAAAACATTCTCTCAGGTAAATTCTGGAAGCTTGAAATCCTCTGTCGAGATATCAGCAGAACTGTGTTCCCTCTAAAGTCTCCAGGGAAACCTTCTGGAGGCTCCTGGTGGTTGCTGGCAACCCTTGGCATTTGTTGGCTTGGAGCTCCCTCACTCACTCTAATCTCTTCATGTGACCATCTCCCCTCTGTATGTGTCTGTTTCTACGCCTCGTGTGTCTCCTTATAAGGACAGGGCCTACCCTAGTTTAGTATGGCTCATCTTAATTCTAGTGCATCCGTGAAGACCCTGTTTCCAAATAACAGCACATTCACAGGTACCAGGCATTAGACGTTTTTGGGAATTCAACCACTCTATATAAAGAACCCAGCCCAAGTTTATATCTGAGCCTTTTGCAGGTTATAGCTCAGACACTGTCTAAAGCATGTGTGTGTTTGGGGTGAGAGGAAAGAGGAAGGATCAATGAGCAGACTCACTAGTCAATCAGCCTTTTCAGTCAGGTGTGCCCCTTGGAAACTGTCAGTTCTTTTTAATACATACTGTTGGGTATGTCAAGACAAATGCTCTATTTGGGACTTCCTTTGTGGCTAGAGACTGAAGCTTGGCTAACATTTAAGTAACTTTGCTAGTGTTTAGTTGACAAAAATCTATGCATTGCACATCTAAAGATCTCCCTGAGCACGTCGGGCATACACATGCCTTTTTAGTCCATGGCTGACCAGAGCTTTGAAGGTCTGCAGCATGGAGACCCTACTGGGGATGCTGTCTTTCTGTCTCTCTCACTTATGGAAGAGATGAGTGAATAAACTTTTTAAAAAAGAATTATTTTATTTAACTTTATTTGTTTGTTTGTTTTTAATTTTGACCAGAGAGAGACAGAGTGAGGGAGAGAGAGAGGGAAAATGAGAAAATGTTTCTGGGACTTGAACCGTGGTCAACTATATGGGAGTCCAGTGCCCTTAACCACCACACTGCCTGCCAGCCCTGTGAATAAACTTTTTAAAGTAAATTAAATAATTGCTATTTACTGAATGTTTGTCATGTGCTAGACTTGATGCTGAGTGCTTTTTTTTTTTGAAGAGGTTTATTTTGCTATAGGGTGCGTGCACTCGTCAGACAGACAGAGAGAGACAGAGAGACAGAAAGCGAGAAATCACCCCCCAGGGGGGATGGCCACACCACAATCCCTTCTCCTCCATTCTCCTCTCAGGATCTTGGGCACACACACACATGCGCCCGGCGTGAGTTTTAAGCCACCGGGTCCAGGACACGAACTGCGGTCGACTACGTGGGAGTCCAGCAACATAGCCATTATGCTAACTGCTGGTCCCGATGCTGAGTGCTTTTATGTATTTTATATTATTTAGTCCTTGTACCAACTCTATTGGTAAGAAAATGGTCATTCAAAAGATGAAGATAGGGGCCAGCTGATAGTGTGGCATTTATGGGATCTGTATCTCACATGACCAGCTGCACAGTTCGAGTCCTGGACCCAGTGGCCTGACAGTCATACTAGTCATGTGTACGTGCATGCCTAGGGTCCTGGGAGGAGAAAGGAGAAAAGAGAATTATAGCATGGCCATCTCCCCAAAGGAGTTCTTTCTCATTTTCTCTGTTTATCTCTATCTCTGTCTCTCTCTAGAGAGCTAAATGCCCTATGGTAAACTGAGAGGGAAAAAAAAAAGAAAAAAATCATGAAGTAGTTGTTCAAGCTAGTAAGTACCAGAGCCAGGATTCAAGCCCAGGTTTGCCCCTTTTATTTCCCTATGTTTTAGATTTTTACCATAGGATGTGTGCACTTGCAAGAGAGAGACAGAGACAGAGAGAGAGAAAGTGAGACATCACCCCTCCAAGAGGAATGGCCACGCCACAGTCCCTTCTTTTCCATTCTTCTCTCAGGATTTTGGGTACACATTACATGTGCCCAGTGTGATTTTCAAACCACTGGGTCCAGGACTTGAATTATGGAGTCGGCCATGTGGGACCCAGCACCTTTACCACCACACCACTCACTGGCCCTGGTTTGCCACATTTTTAACTTTTCTACTTTTAGCTGCTAGAATCTCTTTTATTAATAATAAGAGATATCATAATAGCAGATCCAGTCTCATACCTTATAAGTATATGAACAAAGTATGCCCAGTTGTTCTGTTTTCAAATCAATCCTTCACACAGCTCTCCAGAAGCTGCCCTTTCTGGCTCACACTCATGTGAGGACTAAGAAGAAGGCTGCCATTCCAAGAGGCTACCTATTCTTATCATCAGAGGCCCTGGTGTGTGTGGACTGGCAGAGCCCTAACAACATCCAGCTGTTGCTCACACCCCATGCTCTGCAGGGAAAGATACAAAAGGCAGACCATAGCAACCATCTCTAAGTTCGAGAGTAAAACCATTACAATGGGTCAATTACTGCCTCTTGGAGGGGTGATGCCTCGTAATCCATTGGATAAAGCTGAACACATTTGAGATGATGACTATGGACTGGCCCATGACTCAGGAGGGTAAAGATGTCTCTCTAAAGAGACTGGAGAAGTCAGATGGTGAGAAAGGGATTAGGTTGTGGTCTCTATGTTCTAGGATATCAGGCTAGGTTATCACTGTGGCTCAAATCTGGGTCTCAGAATGTCAACAATGTCTTCCTGTCCTCTGCTAATTGCTAAGAGTGCTCCAGGCCCTCAGTTCCAGAGGTACTTAGGCTGCATCTGCCCCTCAGAGGAAACATGGGGCAGGCAGCTGGTAGAAGTTGTTGGCTCAGTTGTCATTGCTACATCAAGTAATTTGTCACAGGCTCTGTGGCTGGTTTTTCAGCAAGCTCTTGTGAACTTGGAGAGGTTGCTGAGACTCACTGTGAACTGTGTGTAAATGTAGCCCTATGGAAGTTCCAGGGCCTTTGCTACCCCTGGGAATACAATGAATTGAATTAGCAGAACCAAATAGGAGCTGGATGGTGGTGCAGCAGTAAGACAGCATGTTCTGGGAGGTTGACCCACATGAGAAGGTTCTGTTTTCAATATACAGACCTCCCTGAGCATACTGAGCAAGTATGTGCCCATGAGCCAGGGTTGGCTGAGGCTTGGGGGAGTCACAGCATGAAGGCCCTGTTGACCATGCTTCTGTCTCTCTCTCACTCACTCATGGAGGAAATAAATAGACTAAAAAAAATACTTCTATTTTTACTTCTACCAGTCAGGTAGGCTGGTGTCAATGGTGGTTTACATCTGGGGATTTCCTCAGCATCTAGGCAATGAAAGGGAAGAAATCCGTCATCTGGATTAGGACTTACTTTGTAGCACCAGTTGACTACTTATTCATGGGACACTGATATTCGCTTCACATTGTAATACCTCTCCCTTTTTAAACAAATTATTTTTATTTATTCTGAGAGAGAGAGAGAGGCAGAGACAGAACGGCACACCCAACCAAATCCTCACACCATGATCCCCCCTCCAGTCTCAGCTGGCCCAGAAAATAGACACATGTGTTCCTGGCATTCTCTAGGAGGTCGCAGGATACAGCTAGGACCTTCCCACATGGGTCCAGCTGCATTACCACTGCCCTACCACCTGGTCCTGCTCTTTTTTTTTTTTCTTAATATTGCCAGAAAGCATGTGCATTTGCCAGAGACAGAAAGAGAGAGGGAGGGAGAAAGCACCTCCTAATGGATGTTGTCGCACCTCAATTCCTTCTCCATTTCTGCATCCTGTTGGGATTTCGAGCATGCATATGCACATGAGCCTGGTATATTTCTTAAGTTACTTGGTCTGGGATTTGAACTGTGTTTCTGGCCATGTGAGATCTGGCTCCAGATTCTGTGCCCAGAATCCCAGGAGGAGGATCGAGGAGAAAGGATTTCGGCAAGGCCTTCCCCCTGAGGGATGATTTCTCACTTTCCCTCTCATGTCTCTCCCTCTCTCTCTCTCTCTCTCTAGCAAGTGCACACACCCTATGGCAAAAACACGAAGGGAAATAAAAAAGATTTTAGTCGAGCCTTGTAGCCCAGCAGTCAAACCCTGTGCATAAGGAGCCAGATCCCACATGACCAACCACAGTTTGAATCCTGGCCCTGGTGACTTCAGAAACATGCTGGGCAATGTGTGTGCATGCCCAAATCCTGATAGGATGGCAGAGTGGAGGAAAGGGATTGCATTGTGATCATATCTGTTGGAAGATGCTTTCTCTTTCTGGTGAGCTTTCATGCTCCTTTTGGCAATTAAAACATTTTTTCTTCTTTAAATACATTTCTAAATTGCTTCCAAATACATTTCTAAATACATTTCTAAATAATTAGAAATTATTACTGAATTTTAATAATCCCCTTCCTCTGCCTGCCTTTAAGATTTTGTTTTTGGGACCAGCAATTAGTGTAATGGCTATGTTGCTGGACTCCCATGTACTTGACCGTGCTTCAAGTCCTGGACCTAGTGGCTTAAACTCACGCCGGCCACGCGTGCATGCATGCTCAAGATCCCAAGAGGAGAATAGAGGAGAAGGGATTGTGGTGTGGCCATCCCCCCTGGGAGGGTGATTTCTCACTTTCTGTCTCCCTGTCTCTTTCTGTCTTTCTGGTGAGCGCACATGCCCTATAGCAAAAACCTCTCCAAAAAAAGAAAAAAAAAAAGATTTTGTTTTTGTTTTATGTTTTCACCATTTGACTGTGTTCAAGGTGTGTTTTGTGTTTTGTTTTGTTTTTAATTTTTGTTTGTTTTTGTTTGGTTTGGTTTTGGGTTTGCTTGGGTTTGCTGAGATTCTTAGATTTGTGGTCTGTCACTTTTCATTGATTTTGGAACATTCTTAGCCATTATATTTCAGATATGTTTTCTATAGCCACCCCATTTTTTTCCCTTCTGGTACTTCAGTTATATATATATTAAACCATATAACATTGTCCTGTAACTGCTCTGTTTTCTCACTTTTTCCCTCCTGCATTTCATTTTACATATTTTCTGTTGAAATATCTTCAAGTTTATTGTTCAGTTATACCTAGTTTGCTGATAGCCTGAAAAGGAATTCTTAATCTCTGATAAACAACCCTAATAAGGAATTCTTCATCTCTGTTGTTTTATTTCTAGAATTTCATTTGACTTTTTTTATAGTTTCCATATCTCTGTTGAAATTTCTAGTATGATTGAGTACGTTGGCTATCTTTTCCACTAGGTACTTTACTATATTCACATTTAGTCTCTCATAATTCCAACATCTGGGTCATTACTGAATCTGATTTTGTAGATTATTTTATCTCTTAACAATGAGATTTTTATTTTTACTTTTTTCTTGCTTTTACATATGTGATGTAATTTTTTATTGACTGCCATATACCATGTATGAAAGAACAGTAGAGGAGGAAAACAGTGTTTATACTTGGGCAAGACTGTTAGTGTGGGGATTTAGCCAAATGATCTGGCATAGTTGAGCTAGATTAGGGTTTTGTTGTTTTCATCATTACCTTCTATGCATATCAGGCTTCAGATTCCTCTGGCAGTGGGTGGCTATTATTTGTGCTTAGTGTGGAACCCCGGGGTGCCTGTGGGTTTTATCTCAATGTTCCTATTCTACCCTCAGCTTTGAGAAGTTCCTAATGCTTATGCCCATCCCCAGTGGCAGGCTGCTGGTGTATGCCCATGGTGAGGTCCTTCCCGATTCTCAGTCTTAGGCAGGATGCGTTACTGGGCTGCCTAGATAAAGCCCATCAAGCAGTCTTCTACACCCTTTCTCTCCCTAGTGGGAAAACATTGCCTCAGGTCTGTGGTGAATCTTGGGAGATTGTCTTAAGACAGTTTCCTGCTCTCCCCCAGAGGTAGCAGATGCCTGCTTTGCACCAATGCAAGATCCTGGATCTCAGCAAACAGCAGCTGATGACTTTTTCTGTGAGAGGAGGACCTGGGAAGCAAGCAGCTATAAAGCCTTAGAAACAATGGATATTTCCGGGCAACTTTGGCAGGAAGGAGAATCTCCTACTCCCTTCCCAGAGACAAATGGATTTTGCTCTACCCTTTCCAATGGCCCTGAGAGCAAGAGAGTTTGCTGCCTCTTTCCCATTAGCTGAAGTCTTTGCTTTCTGTGAAAGGGGCATCCAGGAAGTGGATTTCATTCCTGTCCCCTAGCAGCAGCCCATCGTCTCCCACACACTTCGCCAGGGGGACCTCTGGTCTGCTGCCTAGTCCCAGTTACTTTGGGGAGCATTGGGTGGAGGCCCATGCAGAAGAGCCGGCTAGTGAGTGTGAAGGTCCATTGTGTCCAGGAAGCTTGTTTACCCTAAACTGAGAGGCTAGTCCATGCCCAACCTTTAAGAATTTGTGAAAATGTAGTTGCTTTTTCTTCTTACTCACTTCCATGGCAATTACCTCTTCCTCCCATGCTCTGTCAAAGATGAACCCGTTTGCATGGCCTGACTCTCCTAAGAGAGGCTTCTTATTTTTAAGAGTTAAATTCTCTTGGTTGTTTCAAGATCACAGCTTCTGAAATTGAATTCCACAAAGCCTGCTTTTCAAAATTTCAGCCCTACACTCCCTCCCCAGAACTTTCACTTCTGACATCTCATTTGCACTTCACTATGCAGGATAGGAAGTAGTTGTATCCCCTTTCCAGAACCTACCAATCAAAAACAGGAGTCTAGAAAAATCTAATGTGTTTGGTACAGAGCAATCAGAATGTAGTATTTCCCATCTGCAGAAGGTCATTCTTGTGCCTCAGTTTCCTGCTTGAAACACGAGCGTGGTCCCTTCATGTGACCATTGCACCTCTTAAGGGATCAGCGATAGCCCAGCAGCCAGAAAACACTTCTTTTGTTAGGACTTTCCCTCACTGCGTGGCTCCCATGCAAAGAGTTCTAAGCATCTTCATGTGCTTTATCCCATCTGTCCTCACACGTTCATGTGATACAGGAGCAGGTGGTCTCTCCAGCCTCAAAACCAAGAGAAGCAAGAGGCCTGAAAGTGAAGAACAGCCCCTGGGATCACAGGGCCCCATTTGTCCTGACGCCAGACACTCTGACTCCAGCCCAACCTAGGCCACACCGCTGTACTGTGTGCTAATTCTAAGGTTTCCTGGGCACACAAAAAAGTCTCCACAGTCATTTGTTCAGGGTTTTTAAGGGATCCATTGTGTGATTTGATGCTGAAATATAAAACAGTTTGGGTTTGTAGATAAGAAAACAATATCCCAAACTGGATCCCATTTTGCTAGGAAGAGTTTTGTTTGTGTCAGTGTTGGAAAGTGAGCTCTATGGCAGAGACCCAGACTGAGTCCGTTGTCTTTTTGTCTCCTTCAGCTCTCGTTGGCGCCTGTGGTGGGAATTACTCAGCCATGACTTCAGTGGTCTATTCTCCTGACTTTCCTGACACCTACGCCACAGGGCGAGTCTGCTACTGGACCATTCGGGTGCCTGGAGCCTCCCACATCCACTTCAACTTCACCTTATTCGACATCAGGGATTCTGCGGACATGGTGGAGCTGCTGGATGGCTACACCCACCGTGTCCTGGTCCGGTTCAATGGAAGGAACCGCCCACCTTTATCCTTTAATGTCACTCTGGATTTTGTCATTTTGTATTTCTTCTCTGACCGCATCAATCAGGCCCAAGGATTTGCTGTCTTATACCAAGGTAAAACTTACCAAGGATAGTTTACCCTTAGGGGCTATGTGCCCTTGGAGTCTCTCTGCTACCCTAGTGACTTGGGCAGTTCTTGCTGGATGACCTTAAAATCAGGAGCTCCTGACTCAACTTGCAGAGTATCCCAGTGCTGTGGGATTTTCCCCACCTTCTATTTCATAACTTAATGTTCCATGATACAGAAAAGAGGTGAAATCTGTCAGTGTTACTATTTTAGTTGCCCTAATGACAATTTTCAAGGAAGGGTTTTAAAAATGACTAAAAGAGCTGAGATTGGTAGAATTAGAAGGTTCCCAAGAGACCTTTGGTCCATCCTCCTGCCTCTACACATCCCAGCCAATCTCAAAGACTGAGCTACCATCCTTCTTCAGAACCTCTTCAAGTGTATCTACATCCTCTGATGTAGACACGTGTGCCAGGCAGGTCTCCTTGCCAGCACATGAGAAACACAGAAAGTGTCTAGAGCAAGTCTTTGTCCTCAAGAGCAAATTTCAAGAAGAGTTCAGGTAGTGCGCGCCACAGGAGATTAGTGGGAGGAGGCCTCCCCTACAGGTGGGATGGTCTTGAGGGCCAGGCAGGATTTGGGTCAATAGAAAGGAAGAGGGCCTTCTAGTCAGAGGAGCCAGAGCTGCAAAGTACAAGGGAGAGGAACCACAAAGCATGCTCAGGTATCCCTGAAGCAAACAGTCACATGATTAGAAGTAGACAGTCCTCCCTTCTCCCTGCCAAAGCCAGAGCCTGCCAGGTTCTGCCCTGGGTCCAGTAGCATCAGTGGAAGGAATTGTACCTAGAAGTGAATCTAGACAAGAAAGACCTCCTCTTCATAACTACACCCTCGCCTTTCATTCTTCGTTCTTTGTTGTCTCCGCTGGCTTTCTCCCAAAGTTAATTCCTTTTGATCTTCCAGCTGTCAAGAAAGAACCGCCACAGGAGAGGCCCACTGTCAACCAAACACTGGCCGAGGTGATCACGGAGCAAGCCAACCTCAGCGTCAGTGCTGCCCGGTCCTCCAAAGTCCTCTACGTCATCACCACCAGCCCCAGCCACCCGCCTCAGACTGTCCCAGGTAGCAGTTCCTAGGCAGCATCAGTAGGGGCTGGAAGCTACAAAGTGGAAGGTAGCTCTCTTGGCAGTTACAGAAACAAGGGGCTCTTGGCTGTTTCTTATTCAGAGGCAGGACTGGCTCTGTCACCTATAGTTTGTTCTGGCCTCTGAGGGAAATTTTCTTATTAGCGTGGTTCCTTAGTCCTTAGGAAAAAGTAATCACGTCCAAAGATACAACCTGCATGCCTTTTGTGCATTATGATTAATCAGCTAAGTCAGTGTTTTCCCTCTTTGAGATGATTCTTCTAGAGCCCTAAGTTGCAGCTCCCTTAATTTGTTGGCATTTGTAACAGATTCATTCATTCATTTATTCAAAAGATATATAAGTGCTTCAACAAATACAATCCTTGTTCTCCTGTGGTTTATAAATGGGGGTGGGGGGAGGAACATGAAGCAAAATTGTTTAAAAAGTCAGATAGGTAGGAGCAATGACGAAAAGCCATGCAAGAGAGGAATGGAGAGTGAATGATGATTTTTAATGGTTTAAACTGACAAACTTAATTGGGTACATAGTTCCCCAGTCCCTCCCTTATGCCAAGGAAGTGGCACTTTCATGAACTGGGAGAACTGGACAGAACCATTAGTGATGACCCATCCAAGAAATTTTCAAACTGCTACTCCATCTCCAGTGGGACCTAGCACAGGTGGTCAAGGAGAAGGGCCTCTGCATGTTTGCTCAGTGTCACTTGGCTATGGACCTGGTAGGACTTCATAGATCCCATGTATCACTCCACATATGGGGAGATGGAGACCCAAAGAATTTACATGACTCATCTGTGATTGTGCAGTGGTTCACCTGGTAGAGACAGAATGTTCACCACCCTCTTCAACTCTTGAGTCCAGGGTACCACCTGGTCATCCCACCTGCCTTTCCCCAGGAGGGAGTGCTAGAACAAGGCGAGGTACTCCAAAAACCTGGGCTTCATGCTCACTTCAGCCCTCAGCTGCTCCTGCTGCCCATTTGCTGGCTGCCACTACCTGCAGAGAGCTCCTCAGCTACGCCTGCATCTCCAAGCTGCCACTGTTTTTGTGGGCTTCCAGTGACCTCCACTGGAAAATGAAGCTCTCGTAAACACTGTCTTTTGCACTTGCAGGGTGGACAGTGTATGGCCTGGCAACTCTCCTCATCCTCACAGTCACGGCCATCGTAGCAAAGATACTTCTGCACATCACATTCAAGTAAGTATAGGAGAAAGCCGTCCAGTCCCAGGAAGGGGAAGGCGCAGAATTCCGTTTCTACCATGCCACATTCGTCTGGGTACAATTGTAGCATCAACACATGATTCCAAAGCCCTTTGTCCTAGGCAACATCAGGCAGTAAATATCCCCCCTTCTCTGTAGCGTGAAATGTGTCAACTGGATAAATCTCACCAAGGTTTGACGGCTTGTGTTTGCTCCTGTGTCCAAAGGATACAATTTCAAGAGGATTGGAATAGCCTGGCTTATAAAGCAACGATTTCTAATTTTTGGCATGTGCTGGTTCCTTACTGCATCTTTGTGTGAGAGTGAAGAGTCCTAGGACAATGTCATACCTATTTTCTAACTCCATTCGAGAAACTGAGAGACATTCTTAGGAAGAGAATTCTAATATTTTATTAACTATTGCTTAATAATTATTTTAAAATAGTTATTTAAGAGGCTTACAGAAACCTTATGCTTTGTTTCTGGCCAATTTGGATAAAAAATATTTCTTTCCTTTATTTTGCTGTTCATTTTAACTTTTCCACCTTCCAGAAAAGGGGCTCTTCATGCTGCGGATTTTGTATACTTACAGAGGGAATTCTTTCTCATTTTCCTAGATTCCCCTACTGTGTTTCCTGTGATTCTCAGTCCAGGCTCTTCCAATTCTAAGGCCTTCCTGATTGTTGCTGCCCAGTAAAAGGCCCCCATTTTCTGACTTTCTTGCTTATCCTCTGCCACAGACCTTTTACTCAGGCTCCTCCCTTGTCCTGTGAAGGCTGCCTTGGGCCATGTTGGGGCCTCCTTCCATCGACATCTCCACCTGACACTTGGAATTTTTCAGTGGAAACAATGTCCTCATTATCATTGACTGAGCTCACTCTTACGTCTTTTACTTACACACACACGCACAGTATATGCACACACATAGTTTTGTTTGTTGGTTTTTCTTTTTTTTTTTTCAATTATTTTATTTAACTTTATTTATTCATTTTCAATTTGACAAGAGAGAGAGAAAGCCACCAGGTCCAGGACTCGAACTATAGTCAGCCATGTGGGAGTCCAGCGCCCTCAACCACCATGCCACCTGCTGGCCCCTTATTTATTTTAATTCGACCAGAGGGACAGAACGAGAGCAAAAGAGAGGGAAAGTGAGAAAGAAAGCCACCAGGTCCAGGACTAGAACTGCAGTTGGCCATGTGAGAGTCCAGTGAACTTAACCACATGCCACCTGTTGGTCCCTATTTGTTGTTTTTTATTGCCAGAGAATGCATGTGCTCACTAGAGAGAGAGAAAAAAAACACTGTCCCCACCCCTAATGATGCTTGGTCACACCACAATCCCTCTCCATTTCTCCACCCTGTCAGGATCATGGGCCCAGTGTATTTTTCAGACAAGCAGGGATGGACCCAGAACTGCAGTTAGCCATATGCGATCCAGCTCCCATAACCACTAAGCTACAGGTCTGGCCTCATGTACATGTTTTAAAATACAGTTAAGCCACAATTCACATGTCCTAGGGTAGACTCGCAGGCACAGTTCTGCCCACATGTCCACCCCGGCAGCAGCAGCAGAACAGGTTGCTTTCTACAGGGTCCAGCATCTCACAGCAAGGCTGCAAGAGGTATAAGCCCAGCTTCCCTCTGACATCCAGGTTCCCCTGCAGCTTCCCTGCCAGGCAGCCCTGGGGGCTGACTTGGAGCCTGGGCTGACATTGGAGGTTGAACAGATAAATCTAGGCCGTGAGCAGGGATGTTGCCTTTATCCTGTTTGAGCTAGGTGGGCTTCTAGGTTGAAGACAGCATTTTTTTTTATTAAAAAAGAAAAAAATTTGAAAACTCTTAATTCCAGGCCAGCCCTCCCCAGATTTAAATAATTCTGTCAGTCAGAAAGTTCCGTGTTGTTCTGAAATGACATCTGCCCCATTCTGCTCCCCCACTCAGCCCGAGGCCCACAGCCCACATTTCACCCACACATAAGTCCCTCAGATCTGCATGTAAGTCCCAGATAGCCTTTAGGTCTTTCCCACCGAGCATCCTGTCTCTTAGTTGCAGATCTTATGAACTGATAGGTGGTTTGGGTGCTTTATTCTGATATACTTGAAAAATTATGGGCTAGCTGGTGTTGTGGTGGTTAAGGCAGCTAGACCTCACAGTGCTGACTGCACATTCTAGTCCTAGACCCAGTGGCTTGAAAAACATGCCAGGCACATGTGTGTGCATGGCCAAAATCCTGAGAGGAGAAAGGGGAAGGAATTGTGACATGGCTATTTCCCATGAGTGGGGTGCTTTTTCTCTCTCTCTCTCTCTCGCTCTCTTTCCAGCAAGTGCATACACACTATAGCAAATTAAAAACAAACAAACAGAAAAGTTATTTTTGTTTGACAGATCCCATCGCGTTCCTGCGTCAGGGGACCTCAGGGATTGTCATCAACCAGGGACTTCGGGAGAAATCTGGAGCATTTTCTATAAGCCTTCTACTTCAATTTCCATCTTTAAGAAGAAGCTCAAGGGTCAGAGTCAACATGATGACCGGAATCCCCTTGTGAGTGACTAAAAACCCACCTGAACATAGGTCCCTCTTTGAATTCAAGGCTGCTGGGGTCGGCTTCTCCTGTGGTTTTCCTTCGACCAACCCGCCTCTCCCTTGGCCTTGGCCTTTTTGAGGTGCCCCCCTACAGACTGAGAAGAGGTGCCGTGCTGAGGGGCCAGGCAGAGCCTGGATTCCTTTGGCTTCATCATCAGCACTTAGAAAAGAGACCCAAGGCCCTGAGGCCAGGCCCCCCTAGCTCTCCTCTCTGGCATGGGGGTATCCGGACAGTGGAGCTGAAATGACAGAGTGGTCCTGGCTAGTACTGGGCTGAGGTACATTCTAGATGATTGTCAGGTGGTGGGTAGGTTTAGTGTGCGTTGAGTCTTTCTTGCTTCTTCTCTGTTTTGTCCACACACAGATCTGTTTCTCTGGTCTTTACAGTATGGATCAGGGCCAGACAGAGAATTCTCAGTTTCTCTCTAGTGCTGGCCAGATCCATGTGAGTGTGGACCCCAGGGCACTAGCATCCACAAAGCGTAAAGGGGCCTGTGCTCTGTGCTGTCCCTGCAGCTTTTCTCTGGCTGCTGGACCAGGACGTGGGCTTGAGAATAGGGTCTGGGGACTCCCATTCATGTGAAACCTGACACTTTCCACCCACAGGCTTATTTTTAGATGCTTCTTTCTATAGCTCAGTGACCTGCAGAGCAAGTTTGAGGAGTGGCCATATCGAACATCCATTCATTTATTCATGCAACAACTCTGCTGGAAGCTTTTCTTTTTCTTTTATAAAAAGTTGCTATGGCTTGCTAAAGAGAGAGAAAGAAAATAGGAAAGCACTCCCCCATGGGGGATGGCCATGCTGCAATCCCTCTTCCTCCATTTCTCCTTTTGGGATTTTGGGCGCACATGTACACATACATGGTGTTTTTCAAGCTACCAGGTCTGGGACTCGGACTCTGTAATCATCCATGTGGGATCCAGCTGCCTAAATCACCATGCTACCTGCTGGCCCAGCTAGAGAAGCTTTTCCAGGCACTTAGTAACTACATATTTGGCCTTGCCCCCAGCAGCTCATGGTCCTGTGGAACCCGAGCCAGGCCCAGTCTGTCCCCAGTTCTCCCCGCTGACTCTCAGTCCAGAACAGGGAGTATAAATATCATGGTTTAACCTTTAGGCAGCCTTATGTGAGGCATGGGCCCTGCGGTCTCTCCCTTAGATGTCTCCTGTTTTTGAAAGAAGATAAAAATACACTCTGAGGGCTGGGCTCTCTGTGGCCCTATGTCCCTTCTATGGGGACAAAGTTGGGGTTAGGAGTGGCTCAATGGGGAAGAAAAGGGCTCCTGTCCCTCAGACGGCGGTGAACTCCAGAGATTGCTGTGAGGAGAGGGAGGGCCTATGAAGTGAAGAACCTCCAAGGTTAGGCCCTGAGATTGAGAGCTGCAGCTGCAGATGCTGCTGGTTGTGAGTGCCATCTGTGATTTAGCAGTCCCCGCCATCCCGGGCAGGCTTTGTCAACAGCAGCTGAGCAGAGCAGCCTGTGCCCAGGCAGGCTGGGCCCAGCCCCCGTCAGGCTGGGAGAGCCCAAAGGCACTGGGCCTGGCGCTCGCTGAGCCTCAGGCTTCCTAGGCTCCCTCTTTGGAGCACTTCACCTATATCCCCCAAGTCTCTTGGTCACTGTCTCCTGTGGCCCTTGCTGGGGTCATCTGTGCCTGGCTGTTCCTTGGAGGAATCCAGGAGAGGAGCTGGCGACAGAGGGGCATTCAGGAGAGGGAGACAGGCAGCGTGTCCTCGGTGGGCAGGGAGGCTGCCTCAAGCACTGTGTGAGGCCTGCTGCGGACATGGAAGTGCTCAGTGCTGTCTGCACGCTTTGATCTGGGAAGGGTGACTGCCCAGGAGCAGCTGTCCGCAGGCCCCTGGTGGGGAGACAGGAGCCTGTCACATACGAGGACCACTGGGAATATACTGACATGTGCAGCCTTCTCTTCAAGTATCCGTGGCCTTTGTGGAATCTCCTCTCGAAGGGAAGTGTCAGCTGCGAGTGGTCACAAAGGGCCCGTGCTGCTGTGACATGAATAGATCCCTCGGCATCACAAAGGGAATGTGGAATGTGGCCCTGGAAGGTTCCCCTGGCCCAGGGACAGTTGTTCCGCTGCCTGGGGCCAACACTGACCACTGGCTGGTGGGGCCAGCCCCAGCTGGTGTGCTGTCTAAGCCCACAGCTGGAGCCAGCCTTTCAGAGATCCCGGGAAATGCTCCTGGTGGGCCTCGGCACAGCCCAGCACCTCCAGGATCCACTTACTACGCACAAAGCAGCCCTAGGAAACCCAAATCTGCCTCAGGAGAGTGGGGTTTGGGGGGATGGGGATTGACTGGCCAGACCTCCATGAGCGTGGGGTGCAGCCATGGGCCGGTCGTGGCCTCAGAGCTGTCAGCAACACCCACCAGAAGGCCCCTCTGGCTAAGCACATACCAGAGAAACAGATGACCCTCAGAAGAGACCATGGCTGCTTCCAGGAGCCTGAAGGAGGAAGACCTTTGACTCTAAGAAATTCCTCTAGAAGAGAGAAGGCAGGGGCTGGAAGGGATTGGAAAAGGATGGCCCTGAGGGAAGTAAGTACCGACACAGCAGACTATGAAAGAGGCAGGAAAGGTCTTTGGGGATACGTGGATGGGTTCAAAAGCATCCCACCCAGAGCCTCTCTTGGGGTGACAGAGAACACCCCAGGCCTGCATGCTGTCCTCACCCCCATTAACCTATCAGACATATGTACACCAACAGAAGGGCCCTCGCCGGTCCATCCTGTCACCTGCCATGGTGTGTGACAGGTGGACTGTGCCTCAGCCAATGTGTTCTCGTCCCTCTGAAAAGGCCATAGGAAGCACAAGCTCTTCCCGCTGTCCAGTCTCTTACAAAACAGAAAACAAGCAAGAATGAATCCCGGTGCCGTCCTGCTGCTCCACTCCCGGGTCCCCACCGGGTGTGAGCGAGGGGCTGTGCTGCTCCGACTTCCGAAGTATGGGCTCTGGCTCAAGACTGCAGTCAGCCAGAAGCCACGAAGATCAAAGCTCTAGCAAGTACAGCTGTCCTGGGCCTCAGGCCGACCCTGGAGGGCGGGCCGGCAAGGCCAGGCTCCCGCCACATGCCCTGCTGCCTGCCCAGGCAGGAGTTCGCCTGCCCTGGCTCAGGATCCGGCCAGGCCGTCCTGGCTGCAGGCTGCAGGCTGTCACCCACCCCTCGTGCGTCTTGAATACCTGCACTTAATCTTCGCAAGCCCTTGGAGTGTGCGAGATCCCATCGCCTTGGCTCTAAGGCCAGGCCAGGTCTTCCACAGAGGGGTCGGTCCCCACTCTGCAGTCACTTCTACGGCTTAGAGTCTCCTGCTCGGTGTTGACGTCTGCTTTTGTTACTACCTTGGGAATTTTTAACCTTTTGATTATTCCCCCTGGTGTCTTTGTTTACCTTTCTCACTGTTCTACCTCCTGGCCAGGTCTCCCAGCTTAGCTGCCCTGGTGTGGAGTGTTTTTCAAACCTTCCAACCAGCTGCCTCTGGTCAGGCTGGGCAGAGGCCCAGATGACGGGGTTCACCCTCTGCCCGCAGACCTCTGGTGGGTCCATCTCACAAGTAAGGCTTCTGTCTTGCTGAACTGAGCATCGAACTTCCCACGAGGCCTTAGTGGGGCGTGAGGAGAGTCAGAGGTCAATCTCCTGCTTCAGAAAGGAAGCGTCTCTAGGAGCGCTGACTGGAGGGCCCCCTCCTGCCTGGACAGGGAGCTGCCATTGTGGGGCTTCCGGCAGCTGCAAGCCCTTCCCACATCCAAGCTCACCTCCCAGCAGGGATTCTGACTTTGGATGATAAGGCTTTATTTGTAAATACGCTCTTAATATGCAACTTTGAGAATAAAATAGAAACATCATGTATTTTAAAAATATAAGATGAAGTGTGACACACTGTATACAATTTAATATATATTTTTAGGATTTTGTTATTTAAGAAAATGGAATGTAATGGTACTTAACTTTTACAAAAAGAGAAAAATGTTATTTTTACTGTCTGGAGAAAATAAATATTCTCATTGTTGTAGAAACAGTGATGGCCCCAGGCTGTCGTTTTTATGGGAGTTTCGCCAGAGACCGTGGGACTACAGGAAGGTGGCGCATGATGGGATTCCTCCCCTGCTACAAAGCCAGGCCTCATGCTGTGTTTGCTTTTTCCTGGTCCTGTCTCCAGATTTCCTCCGGTCTTGTCAGGCCTTGCCCCACAGCCAATCTTCAGCTGGGGAGTTTTTAGGGGCTGGCAAGTGGCATGGTGGTTAAGGGTGCTGGACTCCCATATGGCCGACCATGGTTCAAGTCTCGGACCTGGTGGCTTGCTTTCTCACTTCTTCTCTCTCTCTCTGTCTCTCTCTGATCAAACTGGAAAATAACAATGATAATAATAATAAATAAAGTTAAATAAAATAATTCTTTAAAATAAAATAAAATAAAAGAGTAGGAATTCCAAGTCAACACACCGTACTACAGGGGTAGGAGAGAGTTGAGGAGAGTGCAGGGCCCTGCCTGAAGAAAAATGCAGGTTTGAACTGACATTGAACAGGTTGGTTAAAATCTTAGCCTCAATTTACCCACCTGGACAATGTTCTCGTAACTATACCTCAGAAGGTTATAAAGAGGAGCCAGCAGGCGGCATGGTGGTTAAGGCACTGGACTCCCACATGGTCGACCACAGTTCAAGACCTGGACCTGGTGACTTGCTTTCTTTTCTCTCTCACTCTCTTTTTCTCTTTCTGATGAGTGCACATATCCTATAGCAAATTTTAATAATAACACTAATAAATAAAGTTAAATAATTCTTTAAAAAATATTATGGGGGTTGGGACCAGCAGTTAGCATAATGGCTATGTCACTGGACTCCCGCATAGTCGACCACAGTTCACATTCCATACCCGGTGGCTTAAAACTCACACTGGGCACGTGTGCATGCATGCCCAAGATCCCGAGAGGAGAATGGAGGAGAGGGAATAGCGGCATGGCCATGCCCCCGGGGGGTGATTTCTCGCTTTCTGTCTCTCTGTCTCTCTCTGTCTGTCTGGCGAGCGCACGCACCCTATAGCGAAAAACCTCTCCAAAAAAATAAAATAAAAGAAAGAAAGAAAGAAAAAATATTATGGGGGTAACAGGTGGCATAGTAGTTAAGGCACTGGACCTCCTACAAGGCCAACTGTGGTTTGAGTCCCAAACATAACGGCTTGCTTTTTCGCCTTCCCTCTCTCTCTCTGTCTGTCTGTCTCTGGTGAGTGCATATGCCCTAGAGTGAATTAAATAAAAGTAAATAATTCTTAAAAGAAAAAAAGATTAGGAAGAGTAGGGAAGTATCTCTAAAGTGCTTATGGGGGTCAGCAGGTGGCATAGTTATTAAGGCATAGTATTTCCACGCTGCCGACCTCATTTTGAGTCCTGAATCCAGCAGCTTGAAGTTCACACCGGGCATGTGGTTTTGTGTGCCCAAAATCCCAGGAGGAGAATGGAGGAGAAGGGACTGTAGTATGACCATCCCCCTGGGGGGTAATCTCACTTTCTCTCTCTCTGTCTCTCTGGTAAGCTCAAACACCCTATGGCAAAAACATAAAAAATAAATAGACAAATAAATAAATAAAATGCTTATGGAATTTTATGCCAGGTGGAACTTACCTTGCCTCTTTGAGCAACCAATTCTTTTCCATACCCTTTTCTTTTCTTTTTTCTTTTTTTAAGTTTATTTCTTCCATGAGAGAGGGGGACAGAGAGAGAGGCACCACT